GTTTTCCTCATTCCTCATGCGTTCCTCATGTTTTTCTCTCATGTTTTTCCCTCGTTTTCCTCATGTTTCACTCATGTTTTCCTCATTCCTCATGTTTTTCTCACATATTTTTCTCTCATGTTTTCCTCTCATGTTTTCCTCTCGTTTTCCTCATGTTTTTCTCTCATGTTTTCCTCATTCCTCATGTTCTCATTTTCCTCATGTTTTCCTCATTCTTCACGCGTTCCTCATGTTTTTCTCTCGTTTTCCTCTCATGTTTTCCTCATGTTTTTCTCTCATGTTTTCCTCATGTTTTTCCCTCGTTTTCCTCATGTTTCACTCATGTTTTCCTCATTCCTCGTGTTTTCCTCATGTTTTTCTCTCATGTTTTCCTCATGTTTTCCTGATGCATTCCTCATGTTTTTCTCATGCATTCCTCATGTTTTCCTCATGTTTTCCTCTCATGTTTTCCTCATGTTTTTCTCTCATGTTTTCCTCATGCATTCCTCATGTTTTTCTCATGCATTCCTCATGTTTTTCTCATGTTTTCCTCATTCCTCATGCTTTCCTCATGTTTTTCTCTCATTTTTTCCTCATGCTTTCCTCATGTTTTTCTCTCATTTTTCTCTCGTTTTCCTCATGTTTTCCTCATGCATTCCTCATGTTTTCTTCATGTTTTCCTCATGTTTTCTTCATGTATTCCTCATGTTTTCCTCATGTTTTCTTCATGTTTTTCTCTCGTTTTCCTCATGTTTTTCTCTCGTTTTTCTCTCGTTTTCCTCATGCATTCCTCATGCATTCCTCATGTTTTCCTCATGCATTCCTCATGTTTTCCTCGTGTATTCCTCATGTTTTCCTCATTCCTCATGCTTTCCTCAAGTTTTTCTCTCATGTTTTCCTCATGTTTTCTTCATGTTTTTCTCTCGTTTTCCTCATGTTTTCCTCATGTATTCCTCATGTTTTCTTCATGTTTTCCTCATGTTTTCTTCATTTTTTTCTCTCGTTTTCCTCATGTTTTTCTCTCGTTTTCCTCATGTATTCCTCATGTTTTCCTCATGCATTCCTCATGTTTTCCTCATGTTTTTCTCTCATGTTTTCCTCATGTTTTCCTCATTCCTCATGCATTCCTCATGTTTTCATGTTTTTCTCTCATTTTCCTCGTGTTTTCTTCATGTTTTCCTCGTGCATTCCTCATGTTTTCCTCATGTTTTTCTCTCGTTTTCCTCATGCATTCCTCATGTTTTTCTCTCGTTTTCCTCATTCCTCATGCGTTCCTCATGTTTTTCTCTCATGTTTTTCCCTCCTTTTCCTCATGTTTCACTCATGTTTTCCTCATTTCTCATGCGTTCCTCATGTTTTCCTCTCATGTTTTCCTCTCATGTTTTCCTCTCGTTTTCCTCATGTTTTCCTCTCATGTTTTCCTCTCATGTTTTTCCCTCGTTTTCCTCATGTTTCACTCATGTTTTCCTCATTCCTCATGTTTTCCTCATGTTTTCCTCTCATGTTTTCCTCTGATTCAGTGCCGACGCAGAAGCCGCCGGCGTTGGGGCCCGTAGCGTTCGCGGCCCTGATTGCGGGGCCCGTGTGTGTGGTGTGCTTCCTGATGATCACCGTCTTCTACATCTGCCACAGCCGCTCGGTCCTCCACCACCGTGTGCCTAACGAGGAAGACCGGTCCATGGACCACCCCTTCATCACGGTGGGAACCACACTCAAAGACCTGATCTACGACATGACCACATCCGGCTCCGGCTCCGGTAACTCGCACAGAAAACATGCTACTACACATTATTTATATACTGCTATATTACCTATTCATCTTTTTAACATGCTTTTGATGTTTTTTGTTTAACTTTTAGTACTTTTTTAATAAATAATTTAATTAAAAAAAAATAATAATTTTAAGTAATTTTTTTTGCTTTTGTCATTTTTCTTAGTTTAAATTTTTTTTCAATTTTAGTTTTAGAAGTTTTAGTGCTTAAAATTAGAAAAGTCAACAATGTCGATATGCTATTATAGTATTTGTTAATATTTTTTATTAGGTTTTAATTTTTTAGTAATTTTATTTGCATTTATCATTTTTCGTAGTTTTTTATTATTATTTACATTTAGCTTTCACTTAATCAATTTTAGTTTTAGTACTTAGTTATGTATGTTGCCTTGGCAATTAACTAACATGTTAAAATGTTAAAGTTTTTTAATCTAATATTTACCAAACTAAATGGTTTTCATTAACAGTAACAACACCACTGTTGTTGTAGTATCATTGATATATTATTATATTATATTGTATTATATTATATTATATCATATATCATATTTTTAATGATTTATTTTTAATTTATTTGATATTTTCTGCTTTTCATGTTATTTTTAAAGTTGCAGTAATTTAATTGTTTTTTTTTCGTAATTTTTATTAGTTTTTGTTGTTTTTAAATATATCTATATAATTTAAAAAATGAATTAGTTTATTTTAGCACATCAAGTTAAATTAAGTAAAACCATGAAATGTTGCCTAGATGAAATAAAGAAAAAAAAAAATTTTGTGTTTGCGTTTAATTTCAGTTAACATGTATTTAAGTAATGCAGATGTTTTTATTTATTATGTTTTTAGTTTCAGTTAACCATAATTGCCCTGAACATCACAGCTTTTAATGCGCAGGTTGTCATTTTTTTCTTATAGTAATTTAGATATCGTGTCTTTACGCCCATGTCTGACTGACGAGAAACAGGCAGGACTTTCCTGTTATTCTTACTTTATTTACATGCTTTTCACATCATATAATTATGTGTTTGTCTTCCTGAGCATCTGCGCTCTTTGTGTGCGTGTCTGCTTTTCTCTTTGTTGTGTAGTCTGTGGATCTCCTTCTCTTTGTGTGTGTGTGTGTGTTTCACCAGCATCGTCACACAACATCATTAAACACTGGCTGCCAAGGCAAAGTGCTACTTATCTTACTGGCACGTCTTCAAGATGTTAAAGAACAGACTCGTAGTGCTCTCTCGAGCCGCGTATGAGAGACGTAACATCAGTCCGTATCAGACTGCCACACAGACACATGAAGGTCACTCTCACAGATGTCTTGACTGTGTCTGGTGGAGACGCTCAAACATGTTCAGGCAACATGAGAAACCTTCTCAAAGACATGGGTCTTTTCTTTTCTCTGTTTTCCACTCGTAGCATTGAGCCGTGTGTCTGAATCAGTGTTTGCACGCTTTGTGAAGCTGAATCGTGAATGACGTGTTTCTGCATCATGCGACGCATTTCTGAGGGGAACTGAATGCGTGCAGTTATTAACATTATAAATCTAAGAGTTTCTTTTTTCCCCCAACTTAAAGGTAGATATATAACACTATACTTTGTTATATTACCCTTGGCTTTAAATTATCGAGAACTAGTTGACTAGTGTTTCTGATTTTTCTCTCTTCTGACCAATCAGTCTTATTATTTTTTTCCTCTTTCGATTGTCATAAAAACGCTATTATGGATTTTTCAAACAAGAATGCAAAAATGAAATTTTGCCATCATTTACTCACCCTCATGTCGTACCAAACCCATAAGACTTTCTTTCATCTTTGAAACAAACATACATTTTTTTAATATTCTCTCCCATACAGCAAAAAAATATTTTCAAATATATTTCAAAATATACAAAAAAATGGCCAATAAAATATTTGCTAATATACAGTATGTTTCAAAATATATTTTCTACCAATACATTTTTGGTAATTTTTTTGTATACATTTGAAATAATATTAACAAAAAAAAAAATGTTGAGCTATATATTTCAATCCAAGAAAATACGTTCATGTGTCACATTTGAAGAAAAACTTTGTTGTCTATAAAATGTAGGAACATATAGCATATTTGAGTAAAACTTAATATACATGTATAGAGAGACAGAGAGAGATAAATGGTTCTGAATCGTGAACAACTTTCAGTGGAATAACAGAAATCTCTCAGGTTTCATTAAAAATATCTTCATTTGTGCTCCAAAGAAAGGTCTGGAACAACATCACAGAGTCACTGATGGCAGAAACTTCAGTCTTTTTAATGGATTGGAGAGACATTTCACTGGCAAAGATGAAAGATTACTTCTATATTTATAATCTAAGAAGGGAACTTTATTGTAATATTGTTTCTAATTTATGATCGAATCCTTCTTATGAATGTGCAGATGTTCAGAATGGATGACGGATCTGAGCTGGAGGCCTTTGGCAGGTTTCAGATTCGCATGACCACAATCGAACACGTTTCTTTAGACAGTGACTGCATGCTTTTAAAAGACGGACTATTTTAACTTCTCAGAAACTAAATGCGGTTCAGAAAGCATGTCTGTAATGAGCGTTTGATCACACAAATGTCATGCTTCACGTTTAAAGAAGGCCTCTTTCTTCCATGCTCTTCCAAAATATTTTTCTTTTCCAATATTCCAAGTATTTTAAAGCTTGGAATAACTAGAAAAATGTATATTCTTTATAAAATAGCCACAGATTTGTAAGATTTCATTAATTGATATGACTTTTTCAGGTCTAGAAATCACACTTCTAAAATGAGGATGCCTCTTATATCCAGGTTTTGATTTTTTAATCTGATTTAAGGCTGAACTCGTTTCAAGTGACCACCGTACTTCTCTAGCTCATTAATCACAGTACATTAAGACAGATGTTTTGCATTACAATTTTTTTTTTTTAAATATTGTTTAAATCTGAATATGATGTATTATTTAAATAGTGTGCAATAATTTGCATAAACTTCTACAACTGAAATCTGAACATTGCATTAAACATTTCAGAAAGTGTTTTTTTAGTATCGTTGAGATACTGTTACAGTTTTTATTAATGTTTTGAAGTAGTTTCTATTATATATTTTCAAGTTTTCATTTGAATTTTGTTGTGTTTTTGTCAGTTTTTTTTAAAATAGGTCTACATGTAGTTTATTCATTTTTGTTATTTTGAGTTGTTCATTATTTTATTAATTATTCACATTTGTTTTAGATTTTTTAATACATCAATTTAAACTAAATGAAAAGTTGTATAACCCTGGATAAAGCCAGGTTCATGATAGATGTTGTTGATATATTAAAGGTTTTTCCAGCGGGATTTTGGATTTCTCCTTTTATCACTCCGTAATCAGAAAATACTGTCAACAGACAGGAACAAAGTCATTGTGAAATGTTAAATAAATCAGTGTGATAGAATTATGATCAAACTTTAGGTATATAGACAGGAATAAAACTGTAAAGTTTGCTGTTTGTAAGAGAAGAAACTCTTTAAAGATATGGATTGTAAATGAAATGGAATTGAAAGACTAAAATAACTCTTTCTGTCAGCAAAATAAAACTCCTCTGCAGATTTAAAACCGCTTGCAAACATGTCAGGTATTCATTCCTGTGTAAACAGATTGTGAAAGTTACCGTGTTCACAGGCTTTACCACGGTTATGTTGTCATGACAACAAAGATTGGATATAACTTATGACACAGACAGGTTGGTCTTTATATACTCGTGGCTGTAAAGAGTTAATCAGCGTTATGTCCGTTCGTTCAGTGTCCCGTCACAGCAGGGTCCTGAGCTTCTATTGGTGAATCTGCTGTAAGCCGGGCTCTGATTGCCTCTCGCTGACCCCCCGCTGCCTCTATGGCTTCCCAGCATTCCTTCACAGAGAACACACTGAGTTCGGCTCCTAATGGCTGCGCTTCTGTTTCTGAAGGGTCCCTGAAGAGCTTTAGTGTAAAGTGACTCACTGTAATGTTACTGAAGCTCTGGATGAGACAGAGAGGTTAAACTGCTGTTGATTTATTACTCCACACTCACACACACACACACACTCACACACACACACATGTTGTGTTTCCATGTTTTATGGGGACTTGATCAAATAAATGCAGCCTTGGTGAGCAGAAGACTCCTCTTTCATGAAACAAAAAAAATGTTACCGAGTCTAAACTTTGAAATGTTAGTGTATATTTGCACAGAAATTTGTAATAATTAATTGTTTCCATTGAAGTTGTCAATTTAAAAAATGCTGCTTAATCAAATTAATCAAACGACCGTTAATGAGATAAATTTATTTATTTTAGTTTCACTCTTCAGAATCAACAAAACAGGTTTTCTTACATTTATTGAGGTGAAATGACACTTTTTGTTCTAGTATCCACTGACTGTGTAAGGTTCTGTCTATGACGAGTGTGTGTGTTTGTCTGCTCTGGTGCAGGTCTCCCTCTGCTGGTGCAGCGGACCATCGCCAGGACCATCATCCTGCAGGACAGCATCGGGAAGGGCCGCTTCGGGGAGGTGTGGAGGGGCAAGTGGAGAGGAGAGGAGGTGGCTGTCAAGATCTTCTCCTCCAGAGAGGAGCGCTCCTGGTTTCGGGAGGCTGAGATCTACCAGACCGTGATGCTGCGGCACGAGAACATCCTCGGCTTCATCGCCGCCGACAACAAAGGTCAGCAGCACTGGTGCATGCTGGGACGAGAGTACGTGTCTTACTGTGACTGCACTCTTTAGCTTTTATTTAATTGCCAAAAGTACAAAGAAAAGTTTCCCAACTTTTTTGGAGTGTGTTGCAGCCTTCGAAATCCAAATTTGTTCATATTTACAAAATACATGTACGTTGGTCAGTGAAAACTTTGGAAATCTTTTCTTTGTACTTTTGAACTTCTCTGGAATTGGGGCTGTAGATATAATCACCATATTTGTAACGAAACTAGCCTAATAAATGACATTGACATTAAATAATAATAATAATAATAAATGACAAGAATGTTCAATAAATGCATCACTTTCAAAATGCATTAAATAAATCTAAAGATTGAGATTTATCGGCCAATAAATCGGTTATCAGCTTTCAAATCTAATAAACTATCAGCCAAAATTTCCGTATCTGTTCATCCCTACGTGATTTTACTGTAATTGCACATCTGTGGGTTTACCTGTAATGGCCAGGAGCAGAATGAATCGGAATCAAGTTCAAATCAGTAAATATGTGTGTGTGTGGTTTGACAGCTGTGTCTTTAGAAGAGAAGGAGTGTCTGTGAGTGTCCTGACTTGTTCTCGTCTCAGATAACGGCACGTGGACGCAGCTGTGGCTGGTATCGGACTATCACGAGCACGGCTCTCTATTCGACTATCTGAACCGCTACACAGTGACGGTGGAGGGCATGATCAAGCTGTCTCTGTCCACAGCCAGCGGCCTGGCGCACCTGCACATGGAGATCGTGGGAACGCAAGGTCTGTGCGTCTCAAACTCATCTGGCTGTTGTTTCCAAATGCTAGGAAACCATCAGTCAACACTCGTGTTTTTGGTCTGAATCAGTTTATAAACATACACAGAGAATGCAGTTCATACAGGGCAGCTCTTCTGTCATATTTTACATTTCTAAATTAAATTTTGTTTTGTTATAAAGGTGTTATATCCTGATTTTAAGAAGATAAAATATCTCATCATCAGAGGCTGAAAGTATTGAAAAGGAAATCTTAAGTAGCTTGATTACAATCTTTTTTTTATTTCTTGAAATTAGGCAGTTTTTTAACTAGTGCTGTCAAACGATTCATCGCATTTTTGTTTACATTATATATGTGTATATTTATTATGTATTTATAAATACACACACATGGATGTATATATTTAAGAAAAATGTTACGTTTATATATCAAATATATTTATATATGATATCATTTATATGAATATAAATATATACATGTAAATATTTTCAAAATATATGCTGTATGAGTGTTTTTATATATACACAGTACACACACATACAGTATATTATGTAAACAAAAACTTTTATTTTGGATGCGATTAATCTTTGGACAGCACTATTTTTAACAAATATTGATGCCATGTAGACCTTCATGACTGTATGTCAAAGTCATTAAAATTCTGAAAAATCTCACATAATTTTACCTTTTATGACATGCCAAGTTTAATTCAAAACTCAATGGTATTCATGATTTAAAAATATATAAAAATATAGATTTAAAAAAATCTTTTTACCTTGAAATTAAAATAAAAAATCTTCAATTCAACCGTTCAGTCTTTTGAACATTTTTGAAAAGTTTTTCAAAACAAATTCAAACCAACTTGAATGTAAGCATTTGGATGGTTAAAGATGTTTTCAAGAATTTATCACATCTTTTTAAACGATATTTTTCCTTTTCATCATCTTTGATCTTTCTCTGTATATAATGACCCGTCTGCCATAGTTTTCTTAAAAGTACCTTGGATTATGAAGCACACAAGTACTCAAAAGTTTGGAGTCAGTTATATTTTAAATACAATGTATCACAGATCGTGGGAACGCAAGGTCTGTGCGTCTCAAACTCATCTGGCTGTTGTTTCCAAATGCTAGGAAACCATCAGTCAACACTCGTGTTTTTGGTCTGAATCAGTTTATAAACATACACAGAGAATGCAGTTCATACAGGGCAGCTCTTCTGTCATATTTTACATTTCTAAATTAAATTTTGTTTTGTTATAAAGGTGTTATATCCTGATTTTAAGAAGATAAAATATCTCATCATCAGAGGCTGAAAGTATTGAAAAGGAAATCTTAAGTAGCTTGATTACAATCTTTTTTTTATTTCTTGAAATTAGGCAGTTTTTTAACTAGTGCTGTCAAACGATTCATCGCATTTTTGTTTACATTATATATGTGTATATTTATTATGTATTTATAAATACACACACATGGATGTATATATTTAAGAAAAATGTTACGTTTATATATCAAATATATTTATATATGATATCATTTATATGAATATAAATATATACATGTAAATATTTTCAAAATATATGCTGTATGAGTGTTTTTATATATACACAGTACACACACATACAGTATATTATGTAAACAAAAACTTTTATTTTGGATGCGATTAATCTTTGGACAGCACTATTTTTAACAAATATTGATGCCATGTAGACCTTCATGACTGTATGTCAAAGTCATTAAAATTCTGAAAAATCTCACATAATTTTACCTTTTATGACATGCCAAGTTTAATTCAAAACTCAATGGTATTCATGATTTAAAAATATATAAAAATATAGATTTAAAAAAATCTTTTTACCTTGAAATTAAAATAAAAAATCTTCAATTCAACCGTTCAGTCTTTTGAACATTTTTGAAAAGTTTTTCAAAACAAATTCAAACCAACTTGAATGTAAGCATTTGGATGGTTAAAGATGTTTTCAAGAATTTATCACATCTTTTTAAACGATATTTTTCCTTTTCATCATCTTTGATCTTTCTCTGTATATAATGACCCGTCTGCCATAGTTTTCTTAAAAGTACCTTGGATTATGAAGCACACAAGTACTCAAAAGTTTGGAGTCAGTTATATTTTAAATACAATGTATCACAGTTTCAACAAAAATATTGTGCAGCACAACTGTTTGTTTGGAGTCAGTTATATTTTAAATACAATGCATCACAGTTTCCACAAAAATATTGTGCAGCACAACTGTTTTCAACATTGATAATAATCAGAAATGTTTGTTGAGCAGCAAATCAGCATATTAGAATGATTTCTGAAGATCATGTGACACTGAAGACTGGAGTAATGATGCTGAAAATACAGCTGCGCATCACAGAAATACATTACAGTTTAACACATATTCACACAGAAAACAGCTGTGCTACACTGTAATAATATTTAAGTTGTAATAATAATGAAAGCAGAATCCTGGCGTCTGTGTGGGATGTTTTCACCTCGTGTTTTAGTTCCAGTGAAACCAAATCAAGCTTCAGCTTTACAGGCCCTGCTCATTCAGCCACCGGTGGAGGCATTTATTTATTTATATGATAATATAAAAATATCACTTTGAGTCACTGTTTGCATCTTAATGTCCAAAACTGAATAATTTTGGCTTGATTTAGTCTTGAGTGGAGTTGATGGGGTTTTGTGAGTAATTCTCATCAGCAGAGTTGTTTGTTGTTAAAGTGAGCTTCATTTACGGCTGCGTCAGCTTTATTACTTTTCTATAATTGAGACGTAACGCCTCATTACACTGTGAGAGTGTCACAATCAAGCTCTGCAGATCAACTCGCTCTGTTGTAGTATTGAAGTTATTATAAAGCTTTCATTTATAGACATGTGATGTGAGAAAGTAATGCATTATAGAGGTGTGTATGATTACTATTGCTTATTGTTAAACCCTGAACATAAGTAGTGAAATTCAGCAGTCACGGTCTGTGCTACAGATATTATTAATATCAAAATCATAAAGTGTGATTACTTTTCCAAGCAATCTGGTTTATTTTCAACTTGTGAAAAAAAGTTTGAGGTTTGTAAGATGTTTAATATGTCTGAAAGAAGTCTCTTCTGCTCACCAATGCATTTATTTGATCAAAAATGCAGAAAAAAAATCATGAAATATTATTAGAATGTAAAACAGCTGTGTTCTATGTGAATATCTGTTAAACTGTAATGTATTTCTGTGATGCGCAGCTGTATTTTCAGCATCATTACTCCAGTCTTCAGTATCACATGATCTTCAGAAATCATTCTAATATGCTGATTTGCTGCTCAACAAACATTTCTGATTATTATCAATATTGAACACAGTTGTGCTGCACAATATTTTTGTGGAAACTGTGATGCATTTTATTTTTCAGGATTCACAGATGAACAGAAAGTTCAAAAGAACAGCATTTATTTGAAATAGAAATCTCTTGTTACATTGTAAATACTGTCACTTTTGATCAATTTAATGTTTCCTTGATTGATTGATTAATTAATTAATTTCTTAATTTCGAGTGTAAAAATTTATTGAAAATTACTTTCTGGAATTTAAATTTTTTAATTATTAAAAAAAAAAGAAACGAATTATACAATCAATCTTGTAACATTTGGATTGTAAATAACCTAAAAACAATCCACAACGCCCTAGCAACCACCTGATGAAGTTGTGCATAGCAACATGCTCCGAGCACCTTAGCAACCGCATCTCAGCCGAGATGATGCAACCCCTCAGACAACATACAAAACTACCAAACTTTGATATAATGGACATCAACCTGAGATAGTCACCACTGATGAGCTATTACTAAATATAATGTAGAATCTTTCATTTTCTGTAAAGCTGCTTTGCAACGATTTGCATCGTGAAAAACGCTATACAAATAAACTTGAATTGAATTGAGCTGCTGTCAGTGTCAGAAATCAATGCAGCTGCACTGCAGACAAACCATCTGCTAGCACAGAGGATCATTGTTTTACCATGTTTTTACTACAGTATATACCATGCAATTGAATTGAGTGTTTACGTGTCACTAAAGGTTCAAAGAGTCTGAAAAAGGCTAAGATCATGGTGCATAACTTTTTTAAACATATACCATGGTGATAACATGATTTTGACATATTAATTTAATATTCAAATGATGCTTTTATTAATCAAGGATGCATTAAATTGATCAAAAGTGACAGTAAAGACATTTATAATGAAAGCAGTGCAACGGTGATGAAACTGACTTGGAACTACCTGTACATTAGAATCCGGTCAGAATCGAGGATTCAGACAGACTACGGTATAAACTCGTATGAAACCTCGTACGTTTACCTTTGTGATGCCTTTGTGTGGAGTCTTGGTGCAACTGACTGTCAGCGGAGGAGCAGGCCTCTCTCAGCTTTCATTTGTGTTTTGAAGGAGTTTTTTAGTGACGTGAGTGTGAAGATCGAGCGATGCTTTATCTGCTGGTTGTTCTGTGAACTCTCTCTGGTCTCTGTGGTGTGTTCCAGGCAAGCCTGCTATCGCTCACAGGGATCTGAAGTCCAAGAACATCCTGGTGAAGAAGAACGGCACGTGCTGCATCGCTGACCTGGGTTTAGCTGTGCGTCACGACTCCGCCACCGACACCATCGACATCGCACCCAACCACAGAGTGGGCACCAAACGGTACGCCTTCGCTCCTCCGACAGTGCTGACTAGTGTAGCTGCAGCGAGATTCAGTCAAGCTTCTTCTCCATCACGAGTTTAGTAGTCCTGCCGAGAGTTTGCTGCGTTTTCATTTAGCTTTCTCTCCTATCAGTAGCTATGTTTCCATCCAATTTATTCGGTAAATGTGTTTCCATCGTAGTTTATGCACATTTTTTGTTATCGAATAAAAAGTTTATCCTACTCAAATCATTTTTAGAATTTATGCTCATCTTGGCGTTTCAATCCAGTGTTTTTTAGATGCGATATTCCAAAATGCACATAAAAATAGGTGGCTGGAAACAGCTACTGGGAAATGTTTACTTCACTATAATTCAAATAAATTCTAATCTAATCGTGACAAACTATATCTATATCATTGGAAAGGTGTAAGACTCCTAAATAGATATTTCACCACTGTTTTACGCGTTACAAATTATGTAGGAAAAGTAATAGAGTGTTTTATGACAAGAGTGCACCTCAAAAAACTACATCATAACAGGAGTTCTGACCTTTGTCACAAAAAGTCTTTCTTTGTTGCCTTTTTCTCAATCACGCTTTAGAAATCATCAGAAATTATATATCAATTTGAAAGCTTAAAATCTCAAAATTCATCTTTTGAAAACCATTTTAAAATCAGACATTGCATTACCATGGAAATGGTACATCAAAATCATATTACAAAATGTTTTTGTTCATGAATTATAAAAATGTAAGTTTGGATCGTGCACTTTCACGTCTGTGTTCAAAGATGGACTGACAGGTGAAGGGTTAAAGAGAACGTGTGACATTTGTGTCATGTTAGCCCACACAAAATACCCATTTATATGGTGCTAACTTTTTATTTATTTTTATTTTATTTGCTGGAGATGTTTTTGCCGGTCTGCAAAACGTGAATTTACAAGTCTTAAAATTTCTTAGGGTCTTAAAATGTCTTAATTTGGACACAAATTAAGGCCATAAAAAAGCCTTAAATCAGACCAGAAAGTGTTCGGTTCATAGATTTAGGGCGTTAAATGTTGCATGCATTGCAATTTATTGCTCTACATTTTTGTTTTGTTTTCTAATACAAATATGTAAACATCCTTAAATTAAAATAGATTTACTGGAGAAGCAAAACGAAGATATGAAGTCTTGCTTTCTGAGAAACTAGAAACTAAAATAAAAAAAAGCCATTAAACTTCAACGTCAGCTACAATAAAAATGAATAGAAACTATATAGACATAAAAAAAACAATAAAACTGACAAACATACACAACAAACTTTTCAAATTAAAGTGAAAAGCAAACATTAAAACTAAATTATTATAAACTATAATAGCATCTCAGTGATACTAAAACACCAGTAATTGGAAGTTGTATTTTCAAACTTTGAAGTGTTGCTAAAGCAACTCATTTTGTAGACATTAGAGAACATATTCATGTCTTGTGTCCTTACATTTTCTTTAATTGCTCTCAGAAATGTCTTAAATTCACTTTCATAAAACCTGCAGAAACCCTGGTTTTAATACGCAGCTTCTAAAGTCTCCATAGCTGAGTGCATTATTAGATTAGAGCAGGTGTCTATAAATCAGTTCAAGAAAGAGAAAGCGCTCCCTGCTTTGATTGCTTTAGTCTCTCAAACGCTCCATCAGACGTGTGTTTGGACGAGCCTCGGTGCTTTCTGAGCTCCTCTGCTAATGTTCATGGCCTGTGTTTCCACACGGTTCGAGTAGAGCTTTCCTGCGGCTCTGAGGAGCTGGATGTGATTCAGTCTCGCTCTGCTTCAGCTCAGATCTGGCTGTCCTCCTGTTCTCAGTGTTTTGGCAGAGCATGCAGACATTTCAGGATTTATCCACTTATCCAGATTAATCTCCTGAACTTGTGTGTGTGCAGATGAGTTTTTTAATGCCTGTACTTCCAGTGATTCTCATCTCATTCACCTCAGAGACGACTGCTTAGACCTGGTTCTGTGTTTGTGATGGTGATTGTTTGGAAGCTTGTGATTTAAAAAAGAAAGAAAGAAAGAAAAGAGAAAAAAAAACAAGCAAAATATTCCACAAATAAATAATAAAAGCATTTTAATGACAGTTTTGAAACATTTCAATAGAATAAATAATAATTTTTTATTTATATTTTTTATTTGTGTACTTGAGCATGTACCGGGGTTATTATCTTATATATATCTTTTATCTTATATTTATAATTGTTTTTTTAATAAAAAAAAAAAATATATATATATTTCAGCTAGTTGCCAAGGCAACATTTATCATTTAAAATGTAAATATTTATATTTAACGTGTTATAATCATATAAAAAAAAAAAAGATAATTACATGACAAAAACACTATAAAAGTAGTAAAGTTTTAAGTAAAATCCAAACAGAAAATGTCAAAATAAAAAAAAAACTCAAAATACTAATAAAAATGTTCTTAATGATACTGAAATAACACTGGTATGCAGTTGTTTTTGAAGTAAAAATATATAATATTGATGATCTAAAGCTACTATTTTAGTATAGATCATTTACATGTTTAAGACATTTTCTGCAGTGTACCTTAAATACAACCAAAATACAAAACACTGACATGTGACAAGTTCAGGCCTCTGTGCTTTTTTTAATTCAGTTTTAATCACATATTGATTTATTTCCATGCCTGTAAACCGACTGGTTTTCCCTTGGTGAAACTGCATTTAGTTCTGGTAATGCTGAATGACAATAAAGTCAACCCTCAGAAGGACCTTGTTTTTGGATCATAGGGGGCATAAATCTCTGGATCGTGATCAAAAATAATAACGCTCTATTCACTTGTGTCCTTCCACAGGTATATGGCTCCAGAAGTGCTTGACGATTCAATAAACATGAAGCACTTTGAGTCTTTCAAGAGGGCAGACATCTATGCCATGGGGCTGGTCTTCTGGGAAATTGCCAGCAGATGTTCTATTGGAGGTATTATTCATATGAAACTAGCTCTACTTTAATAACTGGTTTTTAAATATGTGCATCATGTTTCCCCAGTGTTTCTTTCATTCTCTTTGTCAAGTATTTTAGTGAAGTTTGTCTGCTCTTTTGATCAGCAGCATCATCTGTTGCTTTGAGCTTTAGACTCATCGTACCTTAACTGAAGCATGTTTTTGCGCAGGCATTCATGAGGATTACCAGCTGCCGTACTATGACCTGGTGCAGTCCGACCCGTCGGTGGAGGAGATGAGGAGAGTCGTGTGCGAACAGAAACTACGGCCCAACATCCCAAACAGATGGCAGAGCTGTGAGGTGAGAACACGCAACTTAAAACAGAGGAATGATAACCCAATCTCTGCGTGTATCGGTCTGTGAGGTGACAAGAAAATAAAAAAAAAATTAAAAAAAATAATATATATATATATACGAAGAGTTAATTTGCTAAAACAGATAACTCCATTTTTATTTATTTTCAGAAATCATGTTTTTTTTTTTTATTGTGCGTTCCTAGTAATATCAATCAAACTGCGATTGAGTAATAATAACTTAAACAAATGCAGGTAACTTACAAAATTGAAGTTCATTAAAAGCATGTTTTTTATATATATTAAAAGTTTGTTTTATAGCAAAAGCAGATAACTCCACATTTCACATTTCAGAGTTAAACAAAAACACGTGTTAAATCTTTGTAATCTCCTCAGTAGAGTGCTGTCAAACGATTAATCGCATCCAAAATAAAAGTTTGCTTACATAATATATATGTATGTGTACTGTGTATATTTATTATGTATATATATCATATAAAAAGAAAAATGACTTCTTCCATGACGACAGTAGAAAGTGTATGTATGCGCACTTGTTCTTCTGGTCAAGTCGTCTGGTTCTGGAGAGAACAGGTTTAATTTCTCCTGTAGATCAGTGAAGTTAATGTCATTATGGTGCACACGGCTCTGCTCTCTCCTTCGGTGTAACTGCATCACTGCGGAGAGGTAATGACCGCTGAGACAAACCGCAGGCCTCACAGATCCACCCTCGCTCCTCTTTATTACTGCCGAAGTGACACGACTGGATTCGATTAGATCCGCTGTGAAATCTAATCCGTCTCCAGCGTATGAAAGCTGCCAAACGCTCGGAGAAGTAGAGACGTGTCGCTGCTACTCTCCGTCTTTGTGTCTGCGTCTGTAGCACGTGATTCTGCCGCAGTAGCAGTGATATCTGTGACCCTGGAGCACAAAACCAGCCATAAGGGTCAATTTTTTGAAATTGAGATTTATACATCATCTGAAAGCTGAATAAATAATATTTCCATTGATGTATGGTTTGTTAGGATAGGCCAATATTTGACAATATTTGAAAATCTGGAATCTGAGGGTGCAAAAAAATCAAAATATTGAGAAAATCATCTTTAAAGTTGTCCAAATGAAGTTCTTAGCAATGCATATTACTAATCAAAAATTAAGTTTTTATATATCTACGGTAGGAAATTTACAAAATATCTTCATGGAACATGATCTTAACTTAATATCCTAATGATTTTTGGCATAAAAAAAAAATCTATAATTGTGACCCATACAATGTATTGTTGGCTATTGCTACAAATATACCTGTGCTGCTTAAGACTGCTTTTGTGCTCCAGGGACACATATACTGTCTGGCGTGCCGTGTTTCTGCGTTCGGCTCTCGTTCACAGGTGAGCCTCGACATGCAGACGCCTTGGAGGAGATCTGTGTCTTTGGGACTGTCTTGTTCTCCAGGGCGGTGTAAAACCGGAGATGGTCTCCGCAGATACAGGCTTTAATGAGCTGCTGCTGGAGTCAGAAACTACATGAAGCAAGCCGTTTTAATTCTACATATAATAAAGCTCTAAGCACCATTCAAACAGCATTTAAGTAATGTTTAGGATGTATAGTTTCACGTATTTTCAAAAAACAGAAATCAAAGTTTTGATTATTTGTGACTAGGGTTGCAAAACGGTGGAAAATTTCCAGTAAATTTCGGAACTATTCCAGAAATTTTGGAATCTTTCCAGTATTTTTTTGGAATATTCCAGGGATTTTTGGAAATTTACCGGAAATTTTCCACCCCTTTGCAACCCTATTTGTAACGGTTAAACACCATTCAATCTGCATTTCTGCCATGTTCGGCACAGCACAATTTCACCGGTGAACAAACAGATGCATTTGTCCAAAAACTCCTTAAAATAGTCAGTTGTCATGAAGTACATAAAACAAGTTTTAACTCTACTCTTCAAAGTTTACATGGCATTCAAACAACATTTCTGCAACATTCATCACTGTATATTTGTATCTGCCACCGAACAGATGCAAACAAGAGTCACATTTGTACATGTTACAATGTTATAATTCTGCTTAACGTTTAAACAACATTCACACAGTGTTTCTGCACAGTGTATTTTTCACCTGCGACCTAATAGATACAAACAAGATCCATTTGTCCACAAACTCTTTAAAATAGTCAGCTGTCATAAAGTACATAAAGCAAAGATTTAATTCTACTTATTAACATTTAACATTCAAACAACTTTTAGTAGTCTATTTTCACTTGTCTCCAACTAGATGCAAACAAAACACATTTGTGCAAAAATGTTTCAGTATTGTTAGATGATGTTTATATAAACTACATAAAGAAAAGTTTTAAATGTACTTCTCAGTGGCATATAAACAACTTTTCTGCAACGTTCAGCACTGTATAATTTCACCTGCGACCAAACTGATGCAAACAAATCACGATTGTTCAAAAACTCTTCAGTTTGATGTTTCTCAATTGTCATAAAGTAAGCAAAGTTTTAATTCTGCTTAGTTTTAAACATCATCCCAACATTCAGCAAAGCATATTTTCACCTGCAACCAAAATGATGCAAGCAAGTCACATTTATGTGAAAAAGTGCTGTCAAAGTACATAAAGCAAGCAAGTTTAAATGACTTTCATATTTTCATCTGCCACAAACAGATGCACACAAGAGTCTCTTTCTGCTGTTAATAACCTCTAAATATAAGGCTGTATTGCGGATGAGCTTCAGTATTTAGTGACCGGCTAAATGAACTCAACGCTGCTTGTGTGTCTCTCCAGAAACAGAAATGATCTGATTTGCATTCGGTGGAGTCTTTAACCCTGAGAGCAGAATGTGGGTGTCAGTAATTAATGAAGTCAGTAATAGAGCTGCGATCTCTGCATTCATACACTGCGAACACTGTGCCGAGTGTAAGCGCTCTAGCTCTTTGCTCTGTGTTTGATTCGTATCGGAGTAAAATGCTCCTGCAAGCTTCACTTTATTGAAGAAGAGCGTTTCTGATCGAGTCGTTAGGAGATGATGTGCACATAATGCCAAGAGCGCAATAAACAGATGGCATGAAGCGAAACACTGATTTGACAAGAAACTGCGTGAAAAAAGACTTCCAGGAGCTGTAGTGAATTAAAGATAGGAATTGAACTGCTTGAGATTTGTCCGGACACACTTCAGTGAATGTGTTTCTCGTTAGATAAAAACTGGTGTTCCTTCAGCTACTGCTGAATAGGTTTTATCTGACTTTAGCCGTGTGCACCAGTGTCGTATTGTCTTGTGTTGAAGAGTCCGGTAGTGAGAATGACAGTGATGGAGATTACATCTGTCAGATTTTTGGAACAAAAAGGCTGACTTCTTTGTCCTGCCAAAGTTAATTACACTAATAGCATTTTGTTTATCTTAAATACACACAATTAAATTACTTTTTTTTTTAAATTTTTTTTACACTTTTTGGCTGCTTACCTTTTATTTTTCCTCACGCATCTGATATTTCATTTCAAGTTCTTTGCTGACACTGTTGTCTCCAGTACACTAAATAAAAAAATAAAAAAGAAGTAATTTTATATAATCATATATAGATTCTATTATAGTTTATTTATATATATATATTGAATTGTTTTTTATGTTTTCCATTTTCATTTTAGAGTTTTTTGTTTGTTTTATTCAGTTTATTTGTTTTGACATTTTCATTAGTTGCTGTTTTTTATTTTCTATAAAACTGAAATAGCAAACTATATATGTATATATTTCAAATAATGACTATTTTTATGATTATATCTCAGTTTGACCATTTCTCATAATTTTGAATTTATATCTTACAATGTGACTTTTTCACAATTATAACCTTATTTCATGTAATTGCACATTTTTATAGTTCACAATATGACTTTTTGTAATTGTGACCTCATTATTTTTCATGATGCAACATTATATCTCACAATGTGAATGTATTTTATAATTTTTTTTCATGCGTTTAATTTGAGTTAACTATAATAACTATGATAAACACAAATGTAATTCAGATTTATATGGTGGACTTTCACAGTTGAAGATTGAAAGTCTGGGTTTGGGACAAGAATGAAAGAGTGAAATGTGTGCGTGATGAATGCATGAAGCAGTGTGTGAGGTGTAATGAGTTGCGTGTGCTGTTGTGTGTTCAGGCTCTGCGTGTGATGGCGAAGATCATGAGGGAGTGCTGGTACGCCAGCGGAGCGGCCCGTCTCACAGCCCTGCGCATCAAGAAGACGCTGTCCCAGCTCAGCCAGCAGGAGGGCATCAAGATGTAGAGCATTCCTTTCCCATCGTCACGAGAGGACACAGCACTTTCCCTGACGTTTCCCGCATCCTTGGCCTCGGTCTGAATCGCGCCGGACTCCTCTCTCACACGGAGCATCATGCACGTGCAAGACGGATGCTTTTATTATTTATAAGTGGATCTGAGTTTGGTTTGAGGTTTGACTGTTTCTGTGGGACCTCGTGTTTAATTTCCGCTCATCGCTGCAGCTCTTCAGCTCGGCGCGACTTTAAATACATGTTTTCTGTTTTTGCAAAAACAACTGGACATGACCTCATTCAGTCCTGGCGAACATGCTGCGACATATGCAATACAGATTTACGACTTTATATTTTTACTGCTCTGCTACAATGACTACGATAACAACCATGCCTTCCAAGCCAGGTGTTACCAGAAAGTGCCACTGCTTTGAACCAACTAACCAACCCACCCTCACGGCGCGCTGATCTGCTGGTGCCATCCTTCATTCTCTCTGCCTCTCGTTCTGTGAGGATGAAACAACGATCAGACCTCTTCATGTACAGCTGGAGCTGCGAGAAGGTTGGGAGCGTTACCTAAAGTTGCCCAAACACACACCTAGATCGTTCTCAACATGCATCGAGGTGCAGTCGTATAGAAAATGGATATTTACTAAGCCATGGCGCTTCCAACATTTTGTGGCGACTTTTTCTAACAGAATGTGCAAAACATCAAGGACTGCTTTGAAAGTCTTTCGGGCGAGTCTTAAGGGACCAGTGTGTCGGAGCGGTCTCTGTGTGTGTGTGTGTGTCCAGTACAGACATGTAGCAGCGGTTGTGACGCGCAGTGCTTTATCAGAGCCGATAGCCGCTCGCGAATGAAGAGCGAAACGAGACGGCGTGATTTTCTCAAGGTGTCAGTTTCTGGTGCTTATATAAGCATGCAACTTGAGATTCTTATTTATGTGCATCTGTACGTTTGAGGCTTTTTCAGTCATCTTTATGGTCAGATTAGAGGCCCTGAATGTCGAAGGAATATTCAGAGATGAGTGCAGGTCAAGCTCAGGCCACAGCATTTGCGTTTTAATGTTGATTAGCACAAAACAAACTAAATATAAACAGATAAATAAATGAAAAATTTGAAAAACAACAAAAATCATGGTTACGAATCACACTGAAATTGAGGTAATTTTTGGAGGATTTCAAATATTTAAACATTTTGTAAAAACGCTTACACTACCAGTCAAGATTTTTAATGTTTTTGAAAGAAGTCTCTTCTGCTCAGCAAGCTTGCATTTTTAAAATCCAAAATACAGCAAAGCAGTAATATTATGAAATATTTCTGCTATTTAAAACAGCTGTTTTCTATGTGAATATGTGTTAAACTGTAATTTATTTCTGTGATGCGCAGCTGTATTTTCAGCATCATTACTCCAGTCTTCAGTGTCACATGATCTTCAGAAATCATTCTAATATGCTGATTTGCTGCTCAACAAACATTTCTGATTATTATCAATGTTGAACACTGCTAAAGTAAATTTTTTTCAGGATTCTTTGATGAATAGAAAGATCCAAAGATCAGCATTTATCTGAAATTAAAAGCTTTTGTAACATTATACACTCGACCATTCAAAAACCTGGAGTCAGTATATTTAAATCATTATATATTTATTATTCAATTATGAAATATTATAGAAATGAATACTTTTTAGTTAGCAAGGATGCATTAAATTGATCAAAATTGATGATAAAGACATTTATAATGTTACGAAGGATTTCTATTTCAGATAAATGCTGTTCTTCTGAACTAACTATTCATCAAAGAAACCTGAAAAAATTATACTC